TAGACTGTGACTGTGTGGACCGGCAGGCTCTTGCTATATGGCCTTGCTGGCCACAGCGGTGGCAGACGGCGTCTTTAAACCTGCACGAGGCACGTAGATGGTCCCCTCCGCAACTATAACACTCAGTGACTGCTCCTCTCGGTGACTTAGCCACGAACGTTTTAGCTCTCGCCTCATGTACTCTGCAGACATCCAGCTCGCCATCTGAGTTGGATAGGCTGCCCTCACTTGTCTCATTCACTAATAAAGCTTCCCTATTCGGCTTGGGTAGGCTTTGTCTCTGGGGCAGCTCCGCAATTGATAGATTAGCCAATTCTGCCGCGCAGGCCTCGTCAAACGCCATTTGGAACGTCAGTTCATGGTTCACAATTAAATGCCTTTTAAGGTTCTGATCTCTCACTCCGCTCACTAGCCTGTCTAAGAGATAGTCATCCAGGTTCACGAACTCGCAACGGCATGCAAGCTTCCTTAACGCAGCGACATATTGGTTTATTGTCTCCCCGGGGGCTTGATCCCTATGGTAGAATTGCTGTCTGTGGGCAATCCTAGAAGGCGCAGGGGTGTAATGGTGTTTCAATTTATTCATAAAAGCCTCCCACGTTCCAGCATGTATGGATTGAGGGGCCATCAATGTCATAGCGGTATCAAACATTTCGGCCCCACAGAAACTGAGGAAATATGCGTGTTTGCACTCAGCAGACAAGTTCGTGTAGTCGTTTGCGATTAAAAAACAGTCAAAATGGGCCACATATGCCTCCCAAGTCTCAGTAGCCGGATTGAATGGAGGAAATGTTTGTGAGGACGCCATTACGTTGTGTCTTAAGACTCACGCCTCTCCTCACCTCAGGCTGTCAGTTTACCTCAGGCTCAACTCACACCTACTATTGTTAATTTGGCAGATTCAACATCCCACCTTGGTCACCAGTGGTGTGTTCTCGAGCAGATGATGAATTACAGAGGTGGATTATAACGGTAAGTATTTATTTACCTCACAGCTACAGCTCTAACACAATTCAGAAGAAGTACAACACGAAGAACCTCGAACTCAGCCTGACAGCTCTTTTATACCAACTGTCAAACGGCTTAACCAATAGGAACATCCAACGTTACAAAGGATCCCAACAGGGGCCAATTCTCTTGAGCATGCTCAGAACATAACAGTTGTTAGCTTCTATTTCCATAGTAAATTGTATTTTGGGTTGTAGGTTGTTGAGATGTGTGAGGAAGTTGTCCAGTTTTTTCTTTCCATGTGGCCAAATTATGAAAGTGTCATCTACATATCTGAGCCAGAGTTTGGGTTTGTGTTCAGATTTATCTAAAGCGTTGGTTTCAAAGTGTTCCATGTATAGGTTTGCGATGACGGGTGAGAGGGGTGATCCCATAGGTGTTCCTTTTATCTGTTTGTATCTTTGTCCATTGTGGATGAAGTATGTGTTCGTTAGGCAATGGTTGGTCAGATCTAGGATGTGTTTAGGGGGGTTGTATTTGTTTTGGATTTGTCAAGGCTTCTTTAATAGGCACTTGGGTGAAGAGGGATATGACATCGAAACTCACGAGTAGGTCACTGTGTTGTAAGTGTTGTTTCTTTATTGTTTCTACAAAGTGGAATGAGTTTTGTACATGAGAGGTGATGGATTCTGCATAGGGCTGAAGTTGTTTGGCAAGAAATTTGGCAAGATTCTGTAGAGGTGAGCCTATGGAGCTAACTATGGGTCTGAGTGGTGTTCCTTCTTTGTGTCTCTTGGGGAAGCCATAGAGCTTGGGGCTCTCAAAATGTCACCAAGTACTCTCAATCTTACATGGGAAAAGACCCGAATATGCCAAAACTTGCATACCTGTACCCATGAAAATCTACAAAAATAAACAAATATATATATATATACTGCTCAAAAAAATAAAGGGAACACAAGAAGAAGACATCCGAGATCTGAATGAATGAAATAGCCTTATTAAATACTTTGTTCTTTACATACAGTAGTTTATACACTGCTCAAACAACTAAAGGGAACACAAAACTACTGTATGTAACGAACAAAGTATTTAATAAGGCTATTTCATTCATTCAGATCTCGGATGTCTTCTGCTTGTGTTCCCTTTATTTTTTTGATATATATATATGTTATATATATATGTTATATATATGTTATATATATATATAATCAGTTTGCCCATAAGAACCAAACCGAGAACTTCAGCCAGAAGATGACGAATGTGATTTCGTCGAAATGTTACTACTATCCTTTTAAGGATATGTTTACAATTACACGGGAAGAAACCTGAGATATTAACTGCACACACACACACACACACATATATATACTTACTTCTTCATAGGATTTATGTGTGTGTTTCCTCTAGCCAGGTTTTTCCTACGTAACCAAGGTTTTTCTGCAGCCCTAACTCAGTGGAATCACATCCACTCGATTCTGGGCTTTTTTCTTTCTGGCAGCCAGCAAGTCTTTCACCTGGCAGCAAGAACTTGTTGGCTGCCAGAAAGAAAAAAGCCCAGAATCGAGTGGATGTGATTCCATTGAGCTAGGGCTGCAGAAAAACCTTGGTTACGTAGGAAAAACCTGGCTAGAGGAAAAACATATATATATGTGTGTGTGTGTGTGTGTGTGTGTGTGCGCACGCGCAAGTCTTGGCATATTTGGGTCTTTTCCCATGTAAGATTGAGAGTATCTTGGTAATGTTTCGACAAGGTCCCACTCGTCATCGTCAGGCTGGTGCCTTTGGCTTCGTGCCTGTGCAAGCAAAGCGTGATTGGAGCTGCCGTCTCTCTATAAATACTGGTGGGGAGGTGTGGGGTGCTGGCTTTGTTGCTGTGAGCGTGTTGGTTGCCTGTGTTGTTACATCTTGATTAGTTGATGGAGTTGATGTTTGCAGATTAGTCGGCTGTTTCGTAACATCCTGTGTGGGTGGGGTCCTTGATGTGTGCCCATTAGTCTTTTGTGTTGTAACAACCTGGGTAATGGGCTGGGTAGTTGATGTAATGTCCTGAACAGATGGCTTTGATGCCACATCCCGGGCTTTGGTTTGGCTCTGAGTTTGAAGTCTTGCTATGTGTTCATGGCGTGTGTCAGTTTGCTTTGTTTACATATATATACAGACAGCTCTGCCGGGTTGCTCCGTGTTTGGTCAGGACCAACCATGCCTTCAAGCTAGGAAGGAGGAAACAGTAGGAATCAAGCCTCCATCATCCAGCATGACGACAGCAAAAACAACACAGCTGATTACAAGTGGGAGATGGCTGGAAGGGCCTATTACACGTGCAAGGGCTAAATTGATTAATGGCATATAAAGGCAGAGATCTCTGTAATGGTAATTTAATACTCTGATGATGTCAGCGGATGGCTGACGAAAGCTTAGTAAAATAAAATTTTAATTCTGTTAAAATTTTAAAATCTTAAAGTTCCAGAGTTCGCAGTACGTCTGCTTCCTTTTTTACTAATATACCTGGAACTCGTATTTTTAGAATAGTTTGTAATATATATATACTGTATGTATGTATGTATGTATGTATGTATGTATGTATGTATGTATATGGAACAACTCAGCTCACCACAAGAGATAAAATTAGCATGATCACTGCCTTGGATCATGGTCATTAACATGTGGTTGAACAGCTGTGACACTAGCAATTAGTTCTGCTGAAGTATGAATTTCTATACTGTCCACCGATAAGATTCTCACCTTTTTTACTTTCTTTTAATTTGTTAAACATTTCACTTTCTGGCACAACCTAAAGCTATTGGAGTATTATTTGCAATAAAAATGAAAGGTTTCTCTCCTGATATTTCTGCGAAGCCATGTAGTGATTCATTTCTTCAATATATCAATGATTGGAATAGTTCAAAGAAAAATAATATGAGAAATGATTCACTATCTCTTTGTATCTGACATGGAAATATTGATACACGGTTCTTTAAGAGGAGAAAATGCACAATTCATCCACATATCTGGCATACTGCTCTTGTTTCCATTTCTGTCACTGATGATAACTCTCTGAAACTATCTTCAGACCCAGAAAGATCTGCATGTATATGTAGTATGGTTTGAGATGCGATTCAAATTGATACTCTGACTTTATTCCTACAACATGTATAGTACAATTATATCTACTTAAGGATGGCTTAATAGTTTGTAATAGTAATTAAGTCAAAATTAATATTTTTCAAACACAGAGCAATGCCACTTTCTCAGATAAGTAGAGTTCCCACTTCTTCTTTCAATTAGTGATATGGCTTGGCCAATGGACTCAAAGAGTATTTGGGGAGGGGTTTCTATGCTGCTCTTGATAAGGAGGTTTACAATAAAAAGAGTTCCATTTTCAGCCATTGCTTTTATTTAGTTTTTCATATTGAAATATGATAATGGACATACAAATCCAGTCACTTGAATTAGTTTAACCTTGTGTATTAGCACTGTCTAGGGACTATAGGAGGAAAGCTATGTTAGTCTATGGTAGCCAAAAAAATCAGAAGGAATCTGGTAGCTCTTCTAATTATGGGACTTAATTTAATTCCATGGGTTTAGCTGATTCTGTTAATATGTAATTCTCACAACACATTAATTTTCTGTATTTAACCAATTAAGTGTGGTATATGGTAACTATCATATATTTCAATAATTGTAGTTGCCACCAGTGGAAATTCTTAAACATGATTCATCTACATGAGTTATAGTTATGGTATCCTAGCCTATATTAGACATGAAATTTTAAAACTTCCTGATATAGCTATATGAAATGAATCATTAACTTATATTGTAAAAACAGTGCTAGAGGGCAAAATAAAAAAGGGCTACCACCTTCCTGTCAATTTTTATGAGTTCTGTGAATGAATCTGGTTGGCTATATTAAAATATAGAATGCTAGGCAGCTGCATCATTGATCTGATCCTACAGCATTTTATAGCAAATAATCACTCAGCTTTTTTATATATAGCAATAGTTACTCAGCTTTCTTTTTTCTTTGCTTGTTTGGACACTGCATTTCATTAACAGAGATCAGAACAGTTAAAGCAATTATATTTCAGGTAATAATGCATTATAAAGGACATCAAAGAGTGGGTGTGGGTGTTAAAGAAAACCGATCCTTTTAAAATATGGATTTAGAGATGATGATTGTGAGTACCAGGAATTGCAAGAATGATCAAGCAGTTCATCTTGCAACAAATAAAAGCTGAAGTGATAATTCAGGAAGAAACTCATATACTTTGGGCATGTGATGATAGTAGATGATAAAGAATGTTATTATGTTAGGTAAGACTGAGTGCAGTAGAAGGAAAAGACAAAAGACAAAGATGAATTGGATTGAAAAGATTGTAGGGATGGATTATGGCAGTGTTTCTCAACTTTGGCCACTTTAAGATCTGTGGACTTAATTTCCTAGAATTCCTCAGTCTGTAATGCTGGTTTAGGGTAATATGCTACAAGCTGTTATTAGAAATGAATTGAGATGGTGAGTATTTGACTATTTATTTTATTTTATTTTAGTCAGATTTATATGCCGCCCTTCTCCCGTAGGACTCGGGGCGGCTCACAGCAATAGAACAACCCGACAATAAGTGAAAATTAAATAATATTAAAACCAATTTAAAATCCCCAAATCCCCAAGTTAAAATCCGCGGCAGATCAGGGAAGTTGGTGGAAGAGCCATGTCTTTAGGTTGACGTGGAAGGTGCAGAGGTCGGGGGCTGTCCGGAGCTTGGTGGGCAACCCATTCCAGAGGCCCGGTGCGGCCACACAGAACGCCCTCATCCTGGGGACCACCAACCAACACTGTCTAGCTGAGGGGACCCGGAGGAGGGCAGCCCTATGTGAGCACACTGGGTGGTGGGAGGCCGGTAGGAGGTGATCCTGCAAATACCCCATGCCCGTGCCACGAAGGGCTTTATAGGTGAGTACCAGCACCTTGAAGCGGACCCGGAGGACCACCAGCAACCAATGCAGCTCACGCAATAGTGGTGTTATATGGGAGTAGCGGGACGCACCCGTAACTACTCGCGTGGCCGTGACTATGCAGGAATTGAACCCATTCAAAAGCATCTACCTATACTTTTCAGACCGCCTTCTCTCATTGCTCTCATGCCATGCCATGCTAAAGCATATATACACAGAAAAGTCACAATGAGGTCAGCATGATTACTGTGCAAATGTAATAACTATGCACTTGTGTCATAATATGTGATCTAAATAGAGAATATAAGTATTTGTCTCATTATCTATCTATCTATCTATCTATCTATCTATCTATCTATCATCTATCTATATTTTATTCTCATACAGGAACACGTCTGGACAAGATGAGAGGCACATGAATCAATCAAACAAATAAATATAAACGTACCTCTCCTTTCTGCTTCTCCAAAAAGTATGTGCACCCTCTATTGTTCCCTGTTTCCATTTTTCATTTAATGGCAAAACATACTTACCATGTAATACAGTATATTCACTGTTTCCTCTGAAAACTGCCTTGTGCAGACACTTCCATTCTGGCACAACGGACTGCTGTTCCCTGAATTACAGCTTATTGATTTAAATGTGTCTCCCCACTAACTGCTGTTTCCCCAGTTATAGCCACTTTCCCTTTCATTGCTATTTCCTACTGACTTTTTCCCATTCTGGGCATCATGAAATTTCACAATTTCAGTCTTGTCTCTCAGTACCCTTCTGGTTTTTAATGCAATTTGTCTATTGAGTTATATTTTTCAAATCAATAACGCTTTGTTATTGATTCCCATTGACTGCTACACAACTGAGGGCTTCACAAATGTTTTGCATGTTTTCATTGTGTAAAATAGAAATCATTTGTCTGAGGTGGGGATGTTTGACATTTTTTGAAGTTCTTATTCATTCCGGAATAAATAGTTATACTTAAAAGATCTTTATCTACTGGACAGTCCTGGATGACCTTTTAAATGACAATGTTTTAATAAAACTCTAAAGAGTAATTTGGGAAACTGAAAATGGGTGGAATTACCGGTAGTCCTCGACTTACACCAGTTCATTTAGTGACTGTTCAAAGTTACAATGGCACACTTGTGACTTATGACTGTTTTTCACAGTTACGACCTTTTCAACATCCCCATGATCATGTGATCAAAATTCAAATGCTTGGCAACTGGTTTGTATTTATGACCATTGCTGTGTCCCAGAGTCGTGTAATCCCCATTTGCAACCTTCTGACAAGCACAGTCAATGGGGAAGCCAGATTCACTTAACAAGTGGGTTACTAATTTATCAACTGCAGTGATTCACCTAACAACTGTTGCAAGAAAGGTCGTAAAATGAAGCAAAACTCACTTATCAAACATCTCACTTAACAACAGATATTGTCATACCCATGTCGAAGCCTGAATCTGGAGAGGAGGACAAGCCGGAACTACAGCCGACAGAGATCAAGGGGGCGGCTTCATTGCCTTTGGAGGAATGTGGGGAGGAGCAGTCCAAGGCAGCCCAGGGCTCCTCAGGATTGGCACAATTTGTTATCAGGGAGGAACGGGGGCAGGATGACCGAGAGAGGGTAAGCAGTGAACATGAGGAGCAACAGAGCTCAGGCAATGAGCAAGGACCACCTCCTCCTGATCCCCAAGTGCGGAAAGTGGAGAGAAGGCGGGAACAGTGCAGGTCAACCTGACAACTCAGGAGGAGAGCACCCCGCCCCTCTTCACAAGGCACCCCTGGGGACTGAGATTTAAGGAGATGCTGTGGGGAGGGGCATTTGTCAGGAACACTGAATTGGTAGAGTTTGGTGTGTTAGTACAGACGTTTGGAGTTTGCAGGACTGCTTGCTTCTTCCTTACTTGTGGACTCAGTGCCTTCTTCCTGACTTTGTGGACTCATTGTTTGTTCCTTGTTTCGTGGACTCATTTCCCTGTTCCTTTGTTTTGCTGGACTGGATGCAGCCAAAGGCTGCCATGTGTGTATGTGTGTGCACTTTGCTCTGGGACTTGCCAAGAACATGGGAGCGTTTGAGGGGACATTTGGAGCATTAAAGGAGAGTTTGAACTCTCAGTTGGCTGTGTGACCTTCATGCCTTGTCCCAAATCATCACAGAAATTTTGGGCTCAATTCCTAAACCGAGAACTACCATAACACCTTTACATTGTTTTTCTCACAAGTGTTATCTATTTGATTTCCCTTTTTAAACTTTGCAGATAGTTTCCCAAGTAAAAAATTGAATCAACACATGAATTGTTAAGGAAAATTGTAGGGATAATGGAAATATCGATACAGCAGCTTAGAATATAAAATATGCTTCCAGCCTAAGCCTGAAGCATAGGAAGCAGCGATGCAATTACTTATTGGCTCTTTATCCTGATTATAGAAATCAGTTATGAACTAGAATAAAGAATTACTCCCATCCCATTTTTTTCCTAACTGTACTTTTATATCCCAATAATTTTGCATTCTCAGAGGTGCTCTCATACTCTGCTATATATAAATGGCAAATGATATCTTATAAAAGAAATCAAACAACTATCTTGTTACAAGTTTATAAAAAACTTTTGAAAAGTTTTATGTAGAAAAATTCTGAAAAAAAGTAAAAAGGGACTAATAAGTCGATGATAGAGCAAAGGGGAAAAAAAAAAGAAAATATATACTTTTCCTGGTTTCATCCAGTAGTACTTTGAAGCAAGAGACTGACAGGTTAGGTCTGAATGAAGAAAACCTAATACATAGTAGGGTTTTGCGCTCTGTTAATTTTTTTTTTATGTTTTGAGAATTAACCTTTATTTAAGTAGTTGTATGGATTGTCCCTGCAGCTTTCTACACTTATCCCTTTCTTGTTAGTTATGATCATCAACAACAAAAACAAAATCATCAACTACAAAAAAACTAAACTAAAAAATTTCATTAGCATTTAATTTACTTTTAAAAACTCTTACTAATGTTTGTATTGTGGAAGTAAATGTACAAAGGAAAAAAAAAAACAATCCATGAATGGGGAGAGAATTGAGCCCTGTGGCATTCGCCACTAGTGCTAAACCTCCCACCCTTCCCCTTATGAATCCTACTTGGGTGAAGCCTTGGACGAAGAAGAAAAACCAATGAAAAACAGTGTGTCCCACTCCCAAACTCCTTTGCTGTTCAGAATGATATCATGATTAGTGATAACAAAACTCACCAATAGATCAAGCAGGATCTTGCCTCCATCCCAGACCTAACAGAGCAGTGGTGGGTTTCAAATTTTTTTTACTACCGGTTCTGTGGACTGGCTTGCTTGGTGGGCATGGCTTGGTGGTCATGTGACTGAGTGGACATGGCCAACTTGACATCACTCATGGCCATGGCCACTCAGTCACATGACCACCCCACCTAGCCACGCTCACAGAAAAAGGTAGGATTTTTTTTTTTAATTTCTACCTATCTACTTATATTCTGCCCAGGCCTGGGGTAATCTATCAAAGGCCTCCTCCTACATGCCACCCTGCCCTCCCTTTGCCAGTTGCATGCGTTTCCCTGTTTCCCCTCCTTCAGTGGCCCCGGCCCTAGCCCCGCTTCCTCCCCCCCCCCCCCCTCTTTCTTTGGGCCGCTTACCTTCCTCTCGCGGCAGCTGGTCCGGAGTCCAGAAGGCAAGCTGCCAGGAAGGGATGGCAAAGAGGTAGCGTCTGGGAGGCTTCTCGCAGTCGCATCAAAAGAGAAAAAGCCACTTTGCAGCTGCAGCGGCTGGCCACAGGCTGCCAAAAACTACCGGAGGTCTCCAAAAAAGCTGCTGCCGTCACATCCCATTGCCTGCTATGTTGCACTCAAACTGATGCATCCCATTGCCTGCTGTGTCAGTCCGAGCATGATGCAGCAAGCAATGGGATGTGTGTGCCCAGCCAGCGCGAAGAACAGGGCAGCGATGGCAATGGCTTTTTCGGCGACCTCTGATAGTTTTTGGCGGCCTGCGGCCAGCCACCACAGCTGCAAAGCAGCTCTCAAAGAGGCTTTTTCTTTTCTGATGCGACTGTGAGAAGCCTCCCAGCTGCCGCCTCTTTGCCAGCCACTTCCCGGCAGTCATGCGGGTGGACAGGGCAAGTGAGTGGCGACCAGGCCACCAGTTTGGGGGCATGTCCAGCCAGCTGTCACTACCAGTTCGGCGACCCAGGCCAAATTACTGCTACCGGTTCACCCAAACCAGTGCGAACTGGTAGAAACCCACCACTGCATCAGAGGTCCTCCACAAACATGAACAAGGTTGTCTCAGTGCAATATTCTGGCCTGAAATCTGACTGCAATAGGTCCACATAACCCCATTCCCCCCAGAGCCTTTAAAGCTACTGCTTCTTGTCAACATTCCCTCTGTGGGGAACTTTGTTAATTGGACAAAAATTATCCAGCACTGCTGAAGTTATGTATGAATTATTTTTAAGAGAAGAAATAATTATGGTCGGGGGCTTCTAAGCAAAGCTCTGATAATCTGACCAGGTGGAGGAATCTCTGATGATGGGAAAGGGAGGGAAAAAAGGGGAGAGAAAAGGATTCTAATTGTTAGCACAGCAAAGATGCAGTTTGCCAGTGTTTTGCAAGTTTCAACACTGTAAGAGTTCTTTTGAACAAGCAAATAACCTTTTCTGCCCCTGATGGTGGTGAGAGTGCCCATACTTAAAATAAAAGACAGATTTTAGGAATTCTGTAGAGAAGGCTGATCCTCAATCCCCGGCTTAAAATTAGGGATTGTGTCAGGGGTGAAATCTAAAATTTGTTACTACCGGTTCTGTGGGCGTGGCTTGGTGGGGGGGAGGTAATGTGACTGGGTGAGCGTGGCCAACTTTTTTTTTAAAACTTTTAAAAGCATTTTTTCTACAGCCTTAAGAGGTTGCAGAAAAAAATGCTTTTAGAAGCCTCTGATGATCAGGCAACTCAGCTGGGATCGCCAGAGGCTTTTAAAGGCATTTTTTTCCTACAACCTCTTCCGCTGAAGAGATTGTAGAAAAATGCTTTTAAAAATAAAAAAAAAACAGCCTCTAATGATCGCACAGCTCAGCTGGGCATGGGGGTGTATGTGCAGAGATTTTTGCTACCGGTTCTCCAAACCACCTGCTGCCATCACTACCAGATCAGGTGATCTGGTCCGAACCAGGAGCATTTCACCCCTGGATTGTGTATACTCATTTCCAATGAAGCAGTTTTATTTTAAAAGGTTTTATTGCTCTATCACTGTTTCATTTGATACATAGATTATAATCTGATTATGAAAAATCAAGGCATATTTATTTATTGCCCAAGCTGGAACCCAACAAAATCATTATTTTTAATCATGAGGGGAGTTTGCACAAATCAATTTTATCATTTCAGGGTGTCATGTTATTGCAGTTTGAGAACCCGAGCAATTAAACTGGAGAGGGTGCTATTGCAGCACATAAATATCCAGATGACAAACTCTCCACCTAGATACCTATTTGGTCTGCGGTCTTTCCCTAATGCTGGCACCAGCCAGCCTTTCTGAAGAGCATTTCCTCTCTTCTTACCACTTGCAGAGTTTTTCCTCTGCTAAATTAGCATTTAGCCTGTTATCTGGTGAAATACTGCTTTCATAAAGAAGCACTATTTATTGTCTCAAGCTAAGTGGACATGAAAGGGAAAATACTTGCTTTTTGCATTCAAATAGAAGTTCTTATATATATATATAAAATTCCAATGCATTTTTATGAGTTACAAAGACATAAGAATCTATAAATCTAAGAAAGGAAAGAAAATCAGATTTTTTTTATAATCTACTCTTCTCCTGGCCTAAATTCACTTGGCTCTTACAATAGACCATTGTTATTTGGCTGAAATTAGTTTCTTCCTCTTGTAAAAGATTTTTTCTGCAGTTATATTAGAAATATTTACCATAAGTTCAACCCACTTTGCATCACTTCCTTAAACTTCTAAACTTACTCTGAGCCTACTAGGATTGGAACAGCAATTGATTTACATAAAATCTATATTACAACGGTGTAATCATTTATATGATGTTTTTCAAACTGAATAAGTTTGCTCTTACTTTCATTTATAAAAGGTAAAAAATGAATCTCTGGTGGCATGATCATTTTTAACCAAACTAAGTCACCTATAAAGAACCTTCTAGCATTATTATAAACCTTTAGTACAAAAGCCCTAGAAGAAATGTTCCCAGGCATGATGCAACTACTTTAGTACTGTCAATGACACTGAAGAAAGTAAACATTTTATTCAGTTAAATTAAATTTCATTCCAGACTGCACCACAATAAAGAAGAAGGTCACCAATGATGGCTAAAGAATGAGTTCTCCCTGGACTGTCCCTTCATTATGTGGTAAGTGCAAAAATTAGCAATTGCTCTGTCCAACTCCTCAATTTTGTGGAGGAGGAAAGGAACCAGTAAAATTGAGCATATATAGTTTTGGGGAAAAGATAATTGACTAATTGATAAGAGATTTATATTAGTCTGCTTCCAAATATCAAAATGTACATTCTCACCCTGAACAAGTCCATTCTCTTTTTCTATCATATCTGAATGCATTTCCCAGAAGAATAAGCTAACAATAAAGTTTCAAGGAAACATTAATTATTCAATTACTTTTCCCCAAAACTATATATGCCCAATATTACATGTTTTTCTGATTAAGACTTAGTATTTAGGCCCCTAATCTTTTCAATGACTTTTTTTTTTTTGTACCTGTCTCACTTTATCTGAATTATTCTTAGAATATGCCCACATTCTGCATACAGTATTCTGGATGGTCACACCTCATTCTACTTGATTAATGCATCTCTTGGCAAGTTTGCAATACAGAATAGTGAGAAGTTTGCTATTCATTTTCTTCAGTTCACTTGCTCATGTTCTTAACGTTAACAGTGCAGGAATACTTTCTTCATAACTTGGAAAGTCATATAGTATGCATTTTCATGCACTATAATTTTCTCTACAAGCAAAAGGTGTTCAAAAGAAAATGATATATTTAGGAAAATGTCTATGAGACATTCTTGTTTATAAGGGTTTTAGCATATACACTTTCATAAGAGAATTGTCAAGGCTCCGACTAACGAACTCGAGCAAATCAGAACCCTGAGACTTGGCTCCTTCTCAAAGGTCTTCTTTAATGAGTACATCATATCGGCACAGTTTCAATGGAAAACCAAATCTAAATCTTTCTTACCGTTTCAGTATAATTCAGTTCGAAGTTGAGAAGAATCTCCTATAAAACTCCCAACATTTGACAAGATTTTTTGTTTTGTTTTGGAGACCCATGTGTTCCATGTAATAAACAATAATATTGTTCCATGTAATAAACAATAATTTTTTTTCTTTTTGGGGAAAAAAATGTCATTCAGGCATTTAATTAAAACTTCAAAAATAGATTAATTGTAATTGAAAACATAACAAATATAGCTTGGGCTAGAGGAATCTAAATTAACATAGTTAATGAAATTACTTTACTTATTTTGCTTTGTCAGGAAACTAAATCCTTTCTACCACTCTCTCCACTTGAAAAACAAATAATCTATTAAAGGAAATGATCTGCGTTTTTTCCACCCTGGGACTGCAAAAGCTATTAAGGCAAATTCAAGCAAACTACATCCTTGCTATTTTAGAAGTGAACTTTTAACACCTTTGCAAATGTGATTTTGCTTTAGAAAATTAGTGGTTGTTCTTTTGTATGCTACAGAGATTTTAATTGTTTAAAATAATAATAGGGATATTTTGATTAAAAAACCTTTCTAGTTATTCCATAGGGTTTTTTTTTTTTGAAAAAAGAACAGATTTTAACTAAACTTGCTACATTTGTCAAAGTTGTTTCAAACATAATCCAAAATAAGGCATTAGATAATTAACATGGGATTTTTATTGTATAGACTGTCATTCATATTTAAATGTCTTTACACAGTTAAAAAAAAATCCATACTGCTCATCAACACTGTCTACTTCACTTTCTTTTCTTTCCCCATTTAAAAAAAAAACATTTCTGATTTTCATATAAGCACGATGAGAAATTGGATTTAACAGATTAATTTTCCATTCTAATAATGAATGCTTGAGAGACTTTTAGTGCAAACATCAGTTAGTTTTCACCTACTGCAAGTGAAATGCAGTTTCTAAATTTCCAATTTGACAATATTTGGTATTATTTTCAAAGACTTGTAAACAAAATTGCCAGAACAGATGGTGCAGAATATTTGCATGTAAATTTTTTTCATCTACAAGATGTTTAAGGGAGCTTTTTCCAGCACTGTTGAAACCTGAAAAATGCTGACTTGCTTATACCATTCCTAGCTGTTTAAATAGAAGCTTCTTCACTTCACTTGAAATGACTATAATATATTTTTTTTTCAGAAAATGCTTGAGAGTAGAAGAAATTTGTCTTGAATGTTCTCATAATATAACACCAAGATTTTTGATGTTATGAGTCATGGTGGCACAATGGTTATAATGCAGCAATGCAGGCTAATTCTGCATTTCACTGCCCGAAGCTCAATCCTGACCGACTCAAGGTTGATTCAGACTTCCATCTTTCTGGGGTCGGTAAAATGAGGGCCCAGATTGCATTTTTGTGTCCATATAAGAGATGACTCTCCAGGCTGTGTTTGAACACATTCAGAGGAGTTAACCATCTCACTGAGCAATTAGCTTTGCCATTAAAATGCTCTTATCTTAAGGAAATTGATTCCCAGCCCCTCAGCTTATGAGTCAACCACAAAAAACTTGGTCCCTAAAGTCTATGTGCAAGGAGAGATAAATACCATGATCTCCACCTTCTGGTCACTGATCTCTACCTTAATGCCATGCCTGCTCCTTTAGGGACATTTAGCTCACCATGTCCTTACCAGAACTCTTTGCTGTTATTGATATCATATTGTAATGATGGCCTACCCAAAAAATATTACAGCCTGATTGTTATGCTGGCCACACATATCCCTGAAGTCACATGATCACATTTTGAGTGCTTGGCAACCAGTTTACCTTTACAACTGTTTACAGAGTACCTTCAAACATGACAGCGATTTTGATGTTTATTGCCAGTTTCTGGTATTTATTTCTGATTTATGGGGGGAAAAAACACCCATTATGTGTAATGGATTCACTTAATGACTATGGCAATTCACTTAATGACTGCCACGTTCATTGACTGCTGCAAAAAATATCATAAAATCAGGTCCAGTCATGTAGTGACCACTTAATATCCACAGAGACTTAATGATCACATAATTCCAGGCTCATTGTGGCTGTAAATTAAGGACTACTTATAGTGGCTAGTTACTTGCATCATGCATTCTACTTTTCTAAATACAGGGGGGAAATGGGTTCCAATTATTTGGTACTTCCTACATCTTTCAAATTTTCTCATACAATCTGAGGATAATTTCTCAAAGACTTTGATGTTAAATATTACTGAATGCTAGTGAATTAATATTAAAACTTAATATTGAAAGATATGATGTTTTTGTAAGACATTGTATCTTTTTCATTGGATATCAGCAGTATATAATAACAACAGCATTGCTTTATTTCTTTTATAATTATTTTAACTCAATAATACAAAGAATTCTCTGGGAATTGTATACAGGGTAAATATTTTTACATGCTGTGCAAATCCTTTTTCTTTTTCTATTCCTTTGGGGCAATTTATGTCCTTCAATTATTGTATTATAAAATTTTGAATATTATTCCACCTGAATTTATTTATATCCATTTATACCCCAATTATAAAAGGTAAAACTCCTGAACTTTGAATATTAGTTCATACAGTGAAAGGAGACTGAAAGTTTATGAAATAATTCCTTCCTAATTTTTGACTGTGAATTAAAAAAATTCTGTAATTCCTTCATTCTTGCATTTCAAACTTTCTTATCTGAACTTCTTATAGAACAGAGTTCTTAGAAGCATAGTTTCTGTTTCCAAAACCGCCATATTCAGTTTAAAGCCCTAATGATCCAGTTTGATATGCAAAGCCCTCAAATCCACTGCCGGAGGAATTTGTGGTAAAAATTTAGGTCTCTATCCCTATCTGCTAAAACCCAATTTCTATATACAGAGATTACTTTTGTATTCAGGTCAAAAGTGTGATCAGATTTAGATGTAACTTTAGAAGTTTTATCTCCCTTCCGCCTTTTAATGGATTTTAAAACTATATTACCTGATGAAGACTTGATAGAAGTTCAAATCTAGGAAGCAGTTTTGGAAACCCTAAAAACTCTAAAATCCTTTCAAAAAGTAACAAAGACAGAATGTCCTCAAGCCTCCAACTACCTTGAGGGTTGTGCACCACTCTCAGATTCTCATATCAGTTGACAGAGCCAGGCCTTAATTCTTTTCTATCTCTACTAGAGCTCTGTTGTTTGTGCCATTTTGTGCAGAACCGTTACCTCTCTACACTACTCTAGTCAATGTTTTGTTATTGCGCATATTTACATACAATCATAGAAAAACTATTAAAATAAATTGTTATCTTCCAAAACAAGGCAGTTTAAAAATAGCCAGTCAGATAAATGTAAATAAAACTGACTAACAGGAAGGGAACAATTCAACTCTAAATAACTAATTTTGAATTTGGCTTAATCCAATCCAATGTGTTTGAATCTTTCCCTTTGAAATAAATGATTTTTCAAAGTCCTAAATGAGTGCCAAAACCAAAATTATAGCAGAAAAGGCAGACAGAATATTAATTAAATTAGTATGTCCTAGTACCTGACTGATGCTAATTTTAGCCTTTTTCTGGTCTTTCTGATCCCTGATTCCCTTTCAGCCAGGTACTATGTAAATTATTACTACTATATAATTTCATATAAAGCAGTTTTATAGAGAATATGAAAGGGAGGGAGAGATGCAGATAGATATATAATTAAAGGAATGCATTTTATTTTTCCAACATGAGGGTGACTGAAATATGGCAGGAAATTATGACAGAAATCAAATTGAACTGTTTTAGGAGAAAGGGGAGCTGCCCAGCTAGACAAAAGTGATATGATTTTTGAACTTTTGAGGCCACATGTGATGCATTCAATAAGCAATGCTTAGTAGGAACAGTTGGTAGATTTAGAATTTTCTTGGTTGAGAGGACTTTTTATGAAATCCCCTAATTTTCAAGATATGCTTAAGCATCTTCGCTGTATTTCCCCAACTAATCAAATTGCCTCTTTTCATTCATGACTTGTCATGAAGAGGGAGTGGAGTTTCTGGTTAGTCTGTATTTCAATTTTTGCTACTTTGTGTTTTATTCTGATTTAATGAGAATTGTGTTATATGAAATGCATAAATAAAGAAAAGAAAGGAAAAGAAAATCAGTGCATTCATAGACATTAGACTACCCTCTTCTA